TTTTCGGAGCAGAACCACAATTTAAGGGGAAAATAAGTGCAGATGTAGAGCGATGTAGTTTTGAGAAGCGCAAGTATATGAATGGCAGGAAACTCAATGTAAAGGTTATAGTTAAAACAACATTATTTGGAAAGTACCTCACCTACAGAGCGTCTAGAGGTCTTCACAGTCTATCCTGTCAGGAAGCAAACCTTGGTGGCTATTTGGGCATCTCTGCCCTCATCCCCTCACCTTCTGCTCCCTCTGCACCCTTCCCACTGCTTCACTCCAGAGCGCCATGGGGTCCGGACACTAAGATGGATCTATTGAGTCTCCCACCACACCAAGCTCAACCCTGCTGAGCTGGGTGGTTTGTAAACCACAGGCAAGGCATCCCAGTTAGCCTGGGACTCCAGTCCCAGCTGAGAGCCAGCAAAGGGAAGGGATGTGCCCAGCCTGATGACACCTGATGAGTGGAGGAAGCATGGGGTAGTTTGACACAACGCAACGCTTTTGCACTTCACACTTCTTAGCTCTTTTTGTTCTCCCATTCAACTCTGCAATTCTGCAGAGACTCTCAGTGGACACAACTGGAAATTGAGAAGCTTCAGCAGTGCTGAATGGAAGCAGAATGAAAGGAAAAAGATGAGCCTGTGCATAAACACCTGCCCTAGCCTGAAGGATCTTTAAAACTTACATTGCCTCTGAAACACCAATCTGGCCCAAACAACACCTTTAACCAAACCTCCAACGGCGCACTTTTACCTGCCTGCTTTCACACCAAACAACAGAAGGACACAGAGCTGTTGGAGCAAGTCCAGACGAGGGCCACGAGGACGATAAAGGCGCTGGAGCACCTCCCATATGAAGACAGGCTGAGAAAGTTGGGGCTGTTCAGCCTGGAGAAGAGAAGGCTGCACGGAAACCCCATAGCAGCTTTCCAATATCTGAAGGGGGCCTATAAGAATGCTGGGGAGGGACTCTTCATCAGGGACTGTAGCAATAGGACAAGGGGTAATAGGTTCAAACTGAAACAGGGGGATTTTAGGTTAGATATAATGAAGAAGTTCTTTACAGTGAGGTTGGTGAGGCATTGGAATGGGTTGCCCAAGGAAGTTGTGAATGCTCCAACCCTGGCAGTGTTCAAGGCCAGGTTGGATAGAGTCTTCGGTGACATGATTTAGTGCAAGGTGTCCCTGGCCATGGCAGGGAGGTTGGAACTAGATCATCTTAAAGTCCTTTCCAACCCAAACCATTCTATGATTCTATGCTGACTAGTGAGTTCACCCATCTCAGTCACCATTATGGGGACAGGAAGGTAATGACAAGAACATCTCGCATGTGTTTCTGACAATGTGGTTTTGTTTGGCTTCTCTTGTTACAAATGGCACCATTCCTAACAATGTTGGTGTAAAGGAGATATAAAGTGCCAAATTCTCAGCAGCACAACATCCTGGGTAATCAAGTCCGAAAACTGTGCTGACAGCAAGTGTATATCCCTGTATAAGATGGAGCCTGGACACAGTCGTGGTATAATGCCTGGGTATGAAACCCTTTCCTAAGAGATCCAGATCTAGAAAAAGCAGTCTCCAGGGAATTGGGTGACCAGATAAATCCTTGTTTTCAACTGTAGCGGACACTCATCTTCTCTAGGGACCAACTAACCATTCTATGATTCTATGATTCTTAAATGAACAATAAAAAATGGGTGCTTTATGCTCTTGCTTTCCCAAAGTGATCCGTGGTCCAAAGGAAAGTGCTGATTTCTCAGTCTGAAGGACAAATGGGGAAAATGATGGTTAACATGAATACTCATTCCATTGCAGCTGCAAAGCTGGTGATACCAAGAATTTACTTACAGAACATTTCATTGCTTCAGCTGAGGACTTCTGCACCAGAGCAAGCTGCATCCATTTTAAGTGTTCCTGGGAAAGGTGGTCTGCATCCTGATGATACATGCCATTACAGCTCCACCATAGTGGGAACCTCCAAGGTGCAACCACCAGTCAGCGCTTACCACTGCAGGAGAGCACCAGCCCATCCTCTCCCCTGTGCCTCTTCAACAGAGGCTGGCTGGTCAGATTCCCTGGTTGCCCTCACAAAGAGTGGCCATAACAGGAGTCTTCAGATGACTAGCAAGAGCATCCAAGCGGCACTCTCAGACTCCTGGTCCATGTTACACATGGTAAGGAAAGTGGTGTTGCAGTCCTGACTGCTGACTAAGTGAGTGCTCAGTGCTGGATTAACTGCAGTGCTCTCCCAGAAATGGCCATGAAGATCCACTATTGCAGCCTTCATGTCACTGTTTTGCTCTAACACTATTTCTTTTTGAGGTATAATATCTTCTGAGATCCAGTGTCTGGGTTGGGTTGCCTGTGACTAAAGAGTCATCCACCTCCTATACCCTTTTTCCACTGCCTGAAACCAAGATCCCTTTGTAGTTAAAGGAGGTCCCATCCTCCAGGTTTATAGAGTCTTCAAAAAGGAACTGCCTGGAGACTTGAGATTAACCTCTGGCAACTTTTGGTCAGCAAAACCTGCTTGCTGGACCTTAGCTCAGGCCTTGAGCTGCTCTAAGAGAGAAAGGTGAGGAGTGTGGTTACCACTGTGTGTATAAAAGGACATTCTCATCATCTGGCCCCACACGAGCAGCCATCTTTGTGGAGCCCAGACCAGACAGGAAACGTGATGTGTTGCACTTCAGAGAATTGTATTTGTGTATGGAAAAAGAGAGGTGTGCAGGAACACGTATGCATGTGCATGCCTATCTGTGAACAGGGCAACCATCGGGCTGTGGGTTTGCATTTGTGCATCTGTCTTGGCTTGTGATGTGAAGGCAAAGTGTGCTGAGGAAGATGTCTGCCTGTGGGGAAAGTCTTCTAAAACCAACTTGCAGGGCCTGTGAGAGGTTATCTGTCTGGGAAGGTGGGGGCACACGAGGCTTTGGAAGAAGGTGGACATATTTTGTGCGTCCCTGACTGTCCTGTTGAATGGACAAGCCACTCCAAACAGGCACTGCCGCTACTGTGGGGAGGTGTTGCCTGCCTGGACTAGCTGCAAGGCTCAGGTCAGAGGCGGTAATTCTTCCTTCTGTGGAATGAGCAGGGTGCTCAGCTGGGTAGAGAGGCCGCGGGGTAGGTGTTCCTGTGGTGTCACACCATCTGCAAGAGTGAAGGTTGTGCCTCAAGCTTGTTCACACTCAGCACTGCCCTCATTCCACTCCTGCTCTGACCCATGATGGATCGTCTGAAACTGGGGCACTGATGTGGAGGCTGGTTTCATTATGGTGTTGGTTAGGTCAGTGTCTTGAGTTATTCTTCACAAAGTGGTCCATGGTATTTCTATGACAGACAGACTCCTATCCCCGATTTCAAAGTGATCTGCTTGGGTATATGAAAAAGGAAGCTATGGGTCTCTTGCCAGTGTCCCAAGAGAACAGGTCCTGCTTTCTCTCTCTTTGGCTTCCCAGCAATAGTTACAAATTGGTCCCAGTATATCTGAGCACTGCAAACCAACACCTGATCCCTCCACCCTTGTTTCTGCACCTATTGCTTTAGCAGCAGGAAGTAGGACGTGGTTTGGGGCTTTTTATTCTCGGCCTCACTAGCCTTTTCGATACTTCGGGGCCTCGTCTCATTCTGACAAGGCAAGCAAGTGGCAGCTTCCTGTACAAAGGTGAGAGGGAGAAGACAGATAGAGACCATGCGTGTATGAGAGGAACAGCTCTGCAGAAGAACTGCCAGGCTGGAGGCAACTCTTGTGCCAGCAGCACTGGTTGACGCCTGGACATGCACTGAGCTGTGATATCCACCTCCAACCCTCTCTGCTCCCCTCTCCCCATTCCCCTCACTGTTTGATGTCCAGCGCCTGCATCCACCTAACCGTACGACCTGATCCCTGGGGACGCCCTTCATCAGGACCTCTCGGTGCCCGCAGCTGGAAGGTAAAGGGGGTGATGCCAGCTCTCTCCCACATGGGGGTGGCTGATCTGAAAAGCATCTTGGAAGGAGTTTCAGTCTGACAAACTGAGTATCGCTGTTGGGGAGGGCTGAGCACCTATTTATCTCTCTGTCTCTCCACAGTCCTCTCAAATCATACTCTGCATCTCACAACCTCACCGCCTGCTTTCTTTCACTCTCTCTCCCCTTTGTCTGTTAATGCATTGTCGTCATGTTTTTCTTCCTCTGAACCTAATCTTTTATCATGAGGGGAATCAATATTATGCCTCATGCCAGCCCTTTATAAACCCTCTCTTCCGACTCCCCTGGTAGTCCCAGTAGGGTCCAGCGGGACTCTGTCTTGTTCAGCTCAGCTCTGCCTAGGCTCCAAGCTTAATGAGAGAGGAGCACAGCAAGAAAGCAAAGCTCCTTCCAAGGCAGTGCAGGGTCTGCTTGGCGAGGATGGTGTATGGTTTGTACGTGACTATGTAGTATTTTGTGGTATGGTAAAGCCTTGACGTTCCAGAACCCGGTAAACTCCTTCTCCTAGATTTCCCGCCCTGTCCAAAACAAGCTATTCAGTATCTACCTCATATGCCATGAGCTGCACCACTAACTTTTGTCAGTTGCAGCCAGAGCCCCCACTTACTCAGCAAGCACCTAGTTATTTCAGCTCTGGGGCTTACCAAAAAAAGATCCTCTTCAAAGCACAAGCTATGTGCAACCGAAGCAGGACTCTCTACCTGAGTCAGCAAGCAGCCTGAAACAACACATGCAGACTGCTGTGCACTCACACACACATTTCCAGGAGGCATTACTCCTGCAAACAACCTCTCTGTGCTGCACTGCAAATTGTTTCAGTGCTGAGCAAAGCACCCAAGGCAGGAAAACAATGAAGTGCTGAGAGGAGAGCACAGACTCCGGAGTGGAAGGCGTATGAGTTCCTGAGCCTGGAATATTGCCACTGGCTTTGAGCCCTGCCCTAGGACAGTGGATGCCTCCTGTGAGGTGACAACTTCCTAATTTGCATTGCTGAGCCATGCTGGGGGGCATCTTCTCTCTTTCAGTATGACACCAGTACAGATGAAGCCGTCTTTGCTGCTTCTGTGTCACTTCTGGCTGTTCAGCCTCACACCTTTTTCATGGGCATCAGACTCAGCACAAGGTAAGAAATGATTCTCTTCACCCATGCCAGCTGGGCGAGCAGGGAGGGGGGACAGACAGAGCAGTGTGCGTGTCACAGTGTGTTGCTGTGCAATGGCCCTGTTGTAACATACAGCCAGAGGAGGCTGTAGTAGCTACAGGTCTCCTATAAGCACATCAACCTCCAAGGGCACGGAGGAGCAAGTGGCTCTGCCTTTCTTACCTGGGGACAGTTATCCAGCAGAGGAGTCAGTCTCTAGTTTGGGATGGGGCAGGATTGTCTGGTGTGATGGTTAATGCTAAACATCATTGCTAATTCAGCTGTGTTACTGTCCGTGTCTTCTCTGCTGGCAGGCACCTCCAGCCTCACTTGTTGGTATGATTCACGGGCAGCTCTCTTCTGTGACTGGACCCCAGACAGGGACCTGGCTGAAGCACCATGCCAGCTGGAGATTTTATCCAAGTTAGCATTCTGTGACAGGTGGGTGACTGGAGAGCAAGAGAAAAGCCAATGCTTTGAATGGAAAGTGTCCTGGGAAGTTGAGCACTTAACAACAGTGCAGGCTCTCCCTCCCCAGGCCAGGTGTAGTGGAGTCATAGAGCCAAGGGGCTTTGCCTTGAATTCCGTCTCTAACCTCATGTGGGCTGAGACGCTGGTCACTGCTCAGTGTTCGTCATCTAACAGTCCCACACTGTCCAGCACAGCCCATCTTCTAGCTCCATAACTGTGTCTGTGCTTCATTTCCCAAAAAATCCCTCTTCCTTGGTAGCCACTCTCTGGACTGAAAGGAATTTTCAGTGGAAAATGAGGATGTACAGAGATGGGACTGGAGCAGGGTGGAATTAAAGTTATACAGAGGCCCATCGCCAGGACAAGCTGGGATGTTGCACCCTGAGTAATAATAAATGAAGGAAAACATTTTTCCCCTTATCTGCCCTGGCCCCTTCATCATTCTCAGTTCAGGCTGTTTTCCTCTCCCACACGTCTCCAGCAGAGGGGTAGGTGTGTGACCAGTACCATAGTGGCGGCTGGCTGAGACTCTGTGCTCTCCAAGTATGACATCTCCAGCCAAGAGACTCACCAGTCTACCCCAGGGCTTCCCCGGGTGCCTGCTGTAAGGGAAGGCTCAGTGTGATTCTGGCAGTGGGTGGGTTGCTCGTGACTGTCACAGAGACACCTCCAATTGGGTGAGATGGGCAAATGTATGCCAGGGCCCAGTGCATGCACCTAGAAAGCCAAAACATTTGTGTTGCTCCTTGGGTGTGAATCACAGAGACTGGGGCTGGAGTCTGGAGTGAATTTGGAACTGTGCTATTGCTTGACCCACAGGGCTCTAGGACACCACCTTTCCCCAACATCAGCAAGTCCAGGCTTGATCTGACCTTACAGCTGGAGCAGACAGCTCAGTCCGATACCCCCTCAGCTGTAACCTCACAGATACTTTCCCAACCCGTCACCCCCTATGCCACGCGAAACAGCTTTCCAGTTCACTGGAGTTCTTCTTAAATCCCAGGTTATCATCTCCCTTATCTGAAAATATCAAGGAGCACTGTGAGCTACCCAAGGCAGAACATGCAACAGGACTGAGGAGATGCATCAAGACCTTCAGCAAAAACAGTAATGTGAGTAATTAATTTGGGATGTCCTGGCTAATGACAAGGTGGAAGGGACTTTCATGTGAATTTTGGTGTACAAACAGTGTGACACCCAGGAGCAGTATAAAAAGCCCAAACCTAACCCCTGACTCCAGTTCTGGAAGTGGGTTCAGTGTTGTATGTTAATATATGTCACCCCTGCAGGTTGCCCTGCAGGTTGCCCTGCAGGAGGGATTGGCCTCATTGTGAGCTGGGCCATGCTGAACACACCACATTCAGTGTCCCATCTCTCAATTACTTGAGTTTGGCCCTAATTCTTCTTCTGAGGAGGGATGGACATCACCACCAGCTCTGAAGTTGCCTCTTGACCTCGTTTTCCTTGAAGAGTTTAGTACCATTTTCCAGATAATTAATTGTGATAAACTCACAACCAGGTCTAATGACAGACAATCTTTCTTACATTTGTACATTATATGCAAAGACAAATTGCATGGTCGGTAAGCAGCTCCAAAATCCCTTCTTTCTAATCAAGCCAATTTCCTATTGCTTATTTAATACTGCATGATGTATGTGGGCCTTTAGTATCATTGTTTTTCAAGAGTAATATTTAATACTAATGTCATCTCAGTCTTACCAATGAAGACAAAATGTTTTAGTAAAAATGTTTTTTTCTCAACAAATGTCACTCACAGAACGTAACTTTTCCTGCTTAGTCAGCACATACAGCAACCCTGGCAAACTGGCATATCGCAGTATTTTGTGCTGTTCTAGCCAATGAACAACAAAGTCCAACCACATGAAGTATAAGTCTTTGATTCTTCACTCACCACTGAGGCTTACGCCTTTCAGCCACAGATATTGGCCGTATTTATCATCAAGTGCTTCCTAAACCTCTTACATACAGGCAATGCTTAGAAATATGAATGCTTATTGATGAGCCATCAGTGTCACTAATGCTAAATTTTCCTTGCAGGCTCAATGCTTCACCACTGCGGACCGTCTTACCATGTCAGTCCATTGCCAGATTGGAGAGAACAGGTCTATACCTGTGCGAATAGAAGATTTCAGTCCACTTGCAAATAGTGAGTACTCATCTGTCTTGCAGTTCCTGAAGCTTCCACACGAAATGATAATTTCTCTTCCCCATCTGTCCCTGTGCTGGATGATGGGAAATCACCATAGCTGATTTTCAACATGTGTCTTTTCCTCATCCCTTGCTACAACTAACACAGATGAACCAAGTTGACTCCTGCCACTTGCACCTGTTACATGCAGCATCATGCCACCACTTCCTATCCCGTCCTGTATCTGGGACAGTGTTAAATAAGAGTGTTTTTTGCTAGGAGTTCTGGCTTCAGTGTCAGCTCAGCTGACGTACTGAAAAGGCATGGTGCAGGAAGGAGGGAAGGAAAATCTTCCTGCTCATCCCCTGCCCCTCCTACCGAATATGTGGTTCCACCCTCCTTTAAGCCAGCTTTGGCATGCACCAGTCTTTGCTGAAAGGGTTCGACTCACTAATCCGGCAGAAAAACATCTGCCTGGGTCATTTTTTTGTTGGATGTGTGAGCCTACCTTGCTCAAGGAGACATCCAATAGGGCTGCTGCAAGGTGGGGCATAAGAAAGCATGGCTAGAGTCAGGGATTGGGAAGGATCAGCCTGGACAGTCTGTGTAACTCCATCCCCTGTGGCTGTAGCTCTCTGTCCATACAGTTGCTTTGTGGATCACCCGCACAAGATAGGCTGCATAATGATGTGGAATTGATCACACTGACTGCAGGGGCCACTCTCACAGGCTCACAGGAGGAGCTGCCTTTAGCATAGCCCAGAAACAAAAGGCCTTTTGCTGTCAGTGACAGTGGGGAAGAAGGAGAAACAGAGGGAGAGAACTCACAAACTGTTTCCCATGTCTGGCTGGAGTCTGTGAGCACAGCTGAGACACCATCCCTGCTGCAGTGGGTTTGCGGTGCAGCCCTATTATGGACCGAGTGCGGAGGTATCAGCCCTTCTCCTTTTCTCTTTCCAGTAAAGCTGAGGCCTCCAGGCAATCTTCAGCTGGTTCGCAAAACTGAAAACACCTACAACTTAACATGGAGCCTGAATATTTCCTCTCACTATTTGGATGGGGAGCGGGAATACCAAGTGCGGTACCGAAACACGACTGAGTCCTGGCAGGTGAGTATAGAGAGGGGTACTGGGACCTGTCAGCATACAGAGGACCTGCTCCTGGGCCTCCCCCCGGGATGAAACCAATTTTAGTGAAGCTGACCCTTTCATCTGTGTCACCCGCTGCCAGTGTTTGTTTGTTGATGACATGGAGGCAGAAGGGAATCCTGTTTTACTCAGTGAATCCTGTTTTACTCAGTGCTGTCTGGAGGCAGAAGGGAATCCTGTTTTACTCAGTGCTGTCACAAAGAAATCCAGACAGCTCTAGGACAGACCTGAAAGGGGTGAAAAAAGCAAAGTGAAGAAGAATTTTCCTCCAGGGTGAACAAGCAGTGCATGAGGTGTAGGGATCTGAGACAGGTCCTCTCTCGGAAGAGATGGTTACATGAGACTGTAAGCCAGGGTTGTTGACGATGCTCTGATTTTACCCTACTCCCAGGAGGCCAGGAACTCCACCATTATGCAGGACCAGATGTGGATGGTGTTTGAGAGCCTTTCACCCAACTTGAAATACGAGGCAGCTGTCCGTGCAAGGCCAAGTGCCTCAAGTATCTGCAAAGGCGTGTGGAGCGACTGGAGCGAGACGATACTGTGGAGGACACATGCTGACCGTAAGGATCAGTGTTAGGCAGTCTGACATGGAGGGGAAAACAGGTACTCAGGGAAAACAAGGGAAAAGGACCAAAGCAGGCTGAGAAGCTGGAGGAAGATGGGTAGGGAGGATTGTGTTGACCAATAGAAAGGTTGAAAAACATATGTCCCTCCTAATCTGTTAGGTCGGGCTGGCTCAACAGAGCTCGAGGTCAAAGACTCCCTGACCTAATAGAGCCCCTCTGACTTCAGAAGCCAGGCAGAATCCACGAGATGTGGACTGCTTCCCCAGAAGCAGTAAGGCCAGATGTCTGACCTGCAGAAGCAGTGGCCAGGACTGGCATTTTCCCAGATGCTAACGTGACCTAGCAACAGAAATCCACCTTTCTACAATGGCCCAGTTCATTGGAGTCATTGATGAGTGAAATGCAGTGAAACAGAGCACTCAGTTCCTGAATCAAAGGACACCTGAGCCTGGGAAGCAAAATCTCACAGAGAATGGAAGAGACGTACACATATAGAATCATAGGATCATAGAATAGTTAGGGTTGGAAAGGACCGTAAGATCACCTAGATCCAACCCAAAGACATGGGCAGGGATGCCTCACCCTAGACCATGTCACCCAAGGCTCTGTCCAACCTGGCTTTGAACAATACCAGGGATTTTACCACTTCTTTTGGCAACCTGTGCCAGTGCCTCACCACCCTCACAGTGAAGAACTTCTTCCTTATATCTAACCTGAACTTCCCCTGTTTAAGTCCGAACCCATTACCCCTTGTCAGTCCCTGATGAACAGTCCCTCTCTGGTACCCTTGTAGGCCCCCTTCAGATACTGGAAGGCTGCTCTGAGTTCTCCACGCAGCCTTCTCTTCTCCAGGCTGAACAGGTCTGCTGAGACTTACATCGGTCATTACTGTGAACCACAGCATGGAGGACACCTCCAGTCTTGAAAGACAGTGCTCTGAGCTTCAGTGAGTGACTGGCTGTGGTCTCTGTCATTTCTTTTCCAAAAAATAAGCAGATGAAGGTTATTCCTTCTCGTCACCCCCACTCTGCCCCTGCTCAGCCCCTCCCTGTTGTGCCGCCTGGTGCTGGTATAAACAGAGGAGTTATGTTTAGAAAGGGCACTGTGTTGCTGTGGCGATCAAATTTTGACAGTGTGTGATGTCAGTGAATAGGATACAGCCGCAAACAGTTGTCATAGCAACCAAGACCCAAGGATAACCAGGGTACCAGAGGCAGAGGAGACAAAGTGATCTGAGTAGCATCTCAAGGACAAGCAAAGAAAAAACGTCCTAAAAATGTCTCCTCCTTCTTTTACTTTTCTCTGCTTCCTCACAACTACTCCAGAGATGCTCTGCAGGCCCAGACCAAAGGACAAGAGGGATGGAGGGAGATGAGGGGGCAGGCAGAGGAGGCAAGCACCCGAATAGCAAGACCAAGAAAAGGTGCACTGGGAAGATGTGTGTGAAAGAGACAGATTAAGAAAAGTTTGAGATGATACCACACAAGCCTGAGGAGGGCTGGCAGCACTGTCAATGTCGGAATTCAGTCTCTTTCTCCTAAATTTACAATCCAAGTACTAAAATATGGTGGAAAGCTGTACCCTTCCTAGTCTCCTAAAGCTTTCCTACACATCTCCAAAGAAAGAAGCTAGCCCCTTGACCGTTAACCTTCTCCATCCTTGGTCCTCCTGCCTTCTCAAAGACCCATGAACTTCATGACTCTGTCTCCTCCACTGACTCCTAATTCTGTTTCAAGTCTCCAGTCCCACTTCAGCTGATTTTAGGATTCCCTGCTTTCCTTTGCAAACAGACAGACATGTTGATGGACACTTCAACCAGTAAACTGTGGCACTTCATCTGTGGCAACCCCCAGCTGTGGTGCTGTTATAAACAGAGAGTTCAAGCTGTTTAGCACAAATTATCTATTAAGCAGACTCTGAAACCCATATCAGCTAAAAGGCATCCTATACAACACAGCAGAAATTAGTTCAATTTACCTGACCTGTATATTATAATTGTATACGTTATTATGTAAAATTATAATAAAGGCCATGTATATTATAATTATATGTAACTTTGTACTATTATATAAAATTATGATACAGGCCCATTTTGATCACCTTGAACAGCCACGGAAGGGCTGCAGCTCCTACCTGCAGAATCCTGGCTAAATTTTTACAGCAAACCCCATGTTTAATCTCATCTTGCAGGAACATCCCAGCCAGTCCTGCCAGCTCTTATAGTGAGCACTTGCATCTTTGTGGCCGTTGGAACTGCCTTCCTTATTAACTTACGGACCCTGAAATGGTAAGAGAGAATCATTTTCCTCTCTGTTCCTCTCCTGTATTTTATGTGTCTTAAACCCCAGCCTATTTTTCACTTGGTGTGATTCAGGATAGAGAGTGACTTAAAAATATAGTTCATAGCCCAACCCTTTGAGGGTGACATTTGTCTGGGGAGATATATCACCACCCAAGATGATGTGGTTTCACATCATTGCATTGTGCTGCGCTCCTGCGACCTGGTGCCGTGCCCTCACTGAATTAAAAACAGCTGCCTTAGAACTTCTGTTGTGCAGGGATTAGAGTGGTGGGCAGGGATGCACCAAACTTGCCTCTTAAAGAGCAGGCCACTGGCTTGAGCACTCCCTCAGCAGAGAGGACCAAGCAAGCCTAGGTACCATTACCTTCTCAATTTCAACACTCCAGCAAGGGCTAAGGCAGGACATGGTGACATTTGGTCTGTAGGCAAAGCTCCTGAGTGAGGAGTACAATTCTTCCTCTCCGTTGTCTGTGCAGTCCTGAAGTGTCTCATCACATGCTGGTAAACATCCACCTGATGCTTTAAAGATCTCTTTGCCAGCGTTTCTCCCCAGATGTTCTTTTATTCAGAACTGAAAGTGTCTCGCAAGGTTACCCCATGCAGTAAGACAGAGAGTGACCTGTCAGCATGGTGAGGTTAGAAAAAGGCCACAGATTTCCTCACCTTAGGGCAGGGCCAAAGAAGCAGGGTGCTGATGTTCATGGCAGGGAGCAGGGAGAAATACTCTCAGGGATGAAGCAGCAAAGCCTGGATGACTTCTCTGTAAGGATAGAAGGAGAAGCGTGCTGACGGAAGATGGATTCTGAGAAAGTCACTGGTCACTGTGTTTTACCTTGAGTCATAACACAAAAGTGAGGAAGTGCTAGCTATATGTCACAGAGAGATAAAAAGCCTCCTTTCTTCACGAAGTACAATTAACCTGGGGGAATTGGACGAAGGATAATGCTGAGGTAAGATCCAAGGAAGGATTAGACATGCATGAATAATAATAGCATCTGCAGTGATGTAAGGTAGTTTATATGCAAGAACTAGCGAATTCTGATGCTTCAGAGAGTACACTGATTGCCTCCAGAGGTCAGGAGGGTCTTTCCTTAAAGCATCCCAAAACAAAGCTTCAGAAAGGGGCTGACAAGATCAGCCAACCTCTCTGAGAGACTGAGAAATAGATTAGATCACTTCATGATGCCTTGGGATGACAACGGACTTAGTTTCAGTACAGTAGAGGCCTCTGGACAGCTGAAAGGCATAGTCAGATGGCTTGCATGGCCAGTACGTCCTAGTTCTACCATGCAGCATCCTGCTAACGGGGCAGAGAGTTGTGGCACAGCTTTGCCACTGATGGTCCCACTCAGGCTATGTGGTCTTCAGAGTCACTGTGAGAGAGAGGGAGCAGCTCACAGCAGATGAAGCTTGGAAACAAGGGAGACCTGCCTGGTTTGTCACCAGGACAAGGGGCTTAAAGGAGAAGTTGGAGAAGTTAAGGTGATCAGCCAAGTTAGGGAAGAAAACAGTGCACTGTTGGTTGTGCTTCCCCAGGTAAAAGGCTGAGAGCAGTGTATTTCCCAGTGCCAGGTTTAACTACCCCATCTCTGTACATCTCATCCCTCACCTACTGCTTTTCAGTCCACTCAAGAGCAAAGAGAGCCCTCAGCCTTGCTCTTTTTTTACCTCTTTGCCACACCAGGGTAGCAGCCATGAGCTGCAATGCTTTCTCCTATCCCTACCACAGTGCAAGATTGGTCAGGATCAGGACCCACTTCATTCCTCCTTCTCATTCTCTTTTCTCAAGGTTTAAGAAGATCCTGAAGATTCACATCCCAGACCCTGAGAAGTTTTTTCCCCCACTTGTTTCAGTTCATGGAGGTGACATTCAGGTATGGGACTGGGGAGGGAGCCATGTGGATATGAGGGAGTAATGAGGGATAGGAGGGTCCAGCTACACATGCCCAGGGGCAGACAGGCAGTTTTGAGACCTACATATGCATACCCAGCACATGTGCCTGTAGCACCCAGCTGCCGAGTCCTCCGCTCAAGAGAAACCTTCTGACCCTCCAAAACCTAACACTTGGCTGAGGCATTTCTAATTACAGAACCGAGAAATGGCAAACCACACAAACCTCAGCACACTGCTCCCCGAACAGCGAGCCCGAGAGAAAACAAGGGACTTGCAGCAGGGAGCTTGGCCTCTCAGATCCCCTTCAACCCCTCTTCAGTCCCTCCCTTCCTGTGCTAGGCTGCCCAGCTCTTCCCCAGATTTCCTGCTGTCATCTTGTCCTCCTGGCTGTGAGCCTTTCCTCTGCCCCTGATGTGAATTGCCCTCACTCTGGGTGGCGCTTCACTGTTTTCTGCATTCTTCTTGTCTTTTTCTCTTCTTTCTCCACCTCCACTTTCTCCCTTCCCCTAATCTCATTGTGAGCACAGGCAGCTGCAAGTAGACGATTACTATTCTGTGCAGCATTGAAGGGAGTGTCAGATGCAAGGCATGGGAGGTGATCCCAAGGGGCATCTCTCTTTAAGAAGGATGGAAACAAACTGCAGAAGGTCCAGAGAACAGCAACGCTATGGAAAAGCCTAAGTCCAAAAAGCCTTAGAAAGCTTGAACTAAGGGGAAGAGTGCAGAGTAGGGGACCAGGGGTGTGCAGCAGACTCTGAAGACATTTTCCCATTCTTTCGAACTAGAAAAATTGGCTTTACTGGGCACAAAGGCAATGAAGTTGGATGTAACCAAAACTAGATTGTTTTTAAGGATAACGATGCACTGGGGGATGCCACTCATAATGCGTGTGGAAATCTAGGCACAAGGGGCCTGGAAGAGCACTTGAGACAAGAAATCTGCGTAGTGCCATGTAGTGTATCAGAAGCTGGTTCAGCACCTAGGAACAGATTGCATGAGAAGTATCTCAGTACTGCTTTCCACGTTTCCACCTTCATCTTACAGCCTTGTACAGGTTTTTTTCTTCCTTTCACTTTAATCCTCCATTTTCCATTCCCCCTCCAGAAATCTCAAAACATAGGCTTGCAAGATCTGCTTTTGATTTCAAAGTGACAAGAAGACATAATTTCTCTGAAAATCCTGCAGATAAGATATCATGAATGCGAATTTCCCTCCCCATCAGCTCCAGCAACTCTTGCTCAGACAGAGAAAAGGTCACTTGATTGCTGTGGGTGCTCAGGAGAAGCACTGGGTCTTATACTTTGTGTTTCTTTCCCATCAGAAATGGCTCTCCTCCCCATTCTCCACATCTTCCTACTGCGTGAACAGCACAAGCCCAGAGATCTCCATGCTTGAGGTGATGCAGAAGAATGACCAGGAATCACAGTTTCTACTTTCCAAGGGAACCTTAACTCCTGATCCACCCTTAGAAACCAGTGGCCACTCAGTATCCAGCTGCTTCACCAACCAAGGCTACTTCTTCTTCCACCTTTCCAACTCCTTTGAGATTGAGCCCTGTCAGGTCTACTTTACCTACGAGCCTTTCATCCAGGAGGGCAATGGCAGTGAGAATGGCGAGTCTTACCATGCTCTTCCCTCTCCAGACCTCTGCACACTGGCAGAGGACATGCCCGTGTTGTCCCACAACTTCTTGCACTGCATCAAGGCAAGCCAGGGCTTACAAAACAGCTCCTTCATGGAAAAGACAGAAGGTGAAACCCAGCAGGCCATGGCTATTTCTGGGGCTCTCCAGTCAAGTGAAGGCACCTCACCAACACCAGTTCTGAAACAGGATGGGAAGATGATGGACAAAGAAGCTTTACAACCTCCTGGGGCCCCGTGCCAGCTGGACACTGACTTTCCTGACCCACCGGACCTCCATGACAGCAATTCTGTTGATGTAACAGAGAGTGGGAAGGCAGGCCCTCCGACTGACCCCTGTACACCAGCAGCACACAATACCTCTTCTTCCTCTCAACCTGCACCTCTAAGGCAAAGCCAGAATGAGGATTCATGCAGAACAGCCTTCTCCAGCCAGGTCCCAAACACTGGTGCCTACCTTTCCCTTAGGGACCTCCAGTGCCAGTACAACCATTGCTCTGTCTAGGATGTGCCTGGAGGAAACCCACAGGTGGGTAAGGCCTTCTCTGCAGGAAGGGCTAGAGAGACAGTTTTTCTATTCAGGTCATGAATGTGACCAGACCCATTGGGACTGTTCTTCAATGAGGCTGGAGAGCAGAGTTATTCTAGTGGGCTGCAAAACCGGAAAAGGGACAGGATGGACAAGGTGTAAATTCATGGGTGGCTAAATGGGTAACACTAGTTGCCCAGGTAAAGTGTTAGTGAAACAGACCACTGGAAATGAGAGAACATTTTGTATAGAGAACTGGGCTAGTGGACAGTAAAGAAACACATGGAAAATTATAAAGGCACATTAAAGCTGTTCAGTGGCTACACAGCTAATGAAGACATATAAGCCTGATTCTTAGGCATACAGGCTAACAGGGACTCACCTTCATAACCGAACCTGTTTCTCTGCTATTTCTGGATCTGATGGCATAGAAACCTCTTCCTGTACTGCTCAAGTGCCATCCCAAGTTGCAGCAGCAGCTTGTTTTTTCCTTCCCAGCTCCTTAGTAGGAGGCTGTGCCAGCACTTCCATGCTCTGCATCTTGGTGTAAAATAGCACTCAGCTTTGATGCTGAGCAGCCACATGGTCCATTTGCCTCATCCCAGCCTAAAAACCTCTAACAAGAGGGACAAATGCCTGTAAAGGTAGATAGGAGATTTTGTACAAGGACAGTAGCACTGCTTGTCAGTGCTGTGGCCAGTGATGAAATGGATGAAGGCATCTGACCAAGGGTGTAACTTTTCCTGCGATGTCCCCACTTAAGGTTTTAATCAGAGATTACATTCTAAGCTACTTGGTCCTGCTTTAGACTTCAGTCTCTAAGGTCAGGTCCGAGCCCCAGCTGTGTCAGCTGTCTAAGGCAGTGCAGTGTAAAAAGAAATCCCCATTATTGGGTTAAAAACACTGGGGAAATCCCCATCCCCACCCCACTCCCTTCTTTCCCCCAGGTCTGATGATGGCAGTAAAGAGAATGCACACAATTTCCCATTCTTGCTGCAATATTTTTCATGAAATCGAAAGCCTCTGTGCCCTGCTGGCAAAATACATTTATTTGACTACGATAAGCTGATTGCAGAATAGTTCATCCCACATCCTGTATTAGTGGAAAACATCACAACGGTGCTGCCCATTCCTTCCATTGCTCAAGGGAAACCATTGCCTAATTAGTAGTAAAGATGTGGTGAATAAGCCCAGAAAACTAACCCACAAATCAGCACTTTTGCTGAAAAGAAAACCCCAATCCACTCACAAAGAATGGGGATAGCAGAGACTACATCACATTTTTTTCTTTTTCCTCTGCATTTGCTGATCTCACTTCAGAAAAATCAGCTCAACACAGAAGAAAAGTGGCAAGGCAAACGAAGACAAGCAGTTCTGGTTACACTCATCCCTGCATTTAACATCTGTACTGTCTATCCACTTTCTTGCATATTTCCGGACTACTCAGCAGTGGGAAAATATCAGGCCTCTTCTTCTAAGAGTTTTTGTATCAAAAAGGTCAAGGATATCAAACTCGTTACTTCCGTCACCCCTGTGAGTATCACCCAGAACTAATTCTTCCTTACCCCTGTCTGTACAAGCATTGAGCTTCCCCTTTGTCATGATTCCACACTGTTACCTGACCTTGCCTTATGCAGCCTGAATGTCATTATGAGTCCCAGCTATGGAGTACCCACTGGCTTGGATTTCACCTCAAAAGTGCTGCTCAGAGGAGCTGAGCCTGAATGTAACTGAGAGTGACAGGGGAGCTAAACCTCTCCTCTCATCGACTTCTTCACCACCTGCATCAAGATGTGGACTGCTCCACTGTCTGCAGGAGACAATAGATGAAGAAGACCCTACAGCTTCCCAGATAAGGAAGCACAAGGCTTGCCCAGCTGCTTATTGTACTTTGAGAATCTTCACAAATGGACTTCAAAAAGAGATGCCGAATCCCATGCCCCTGATGGGCAATTTGCTGTTTTACATGGGCCAAGTATCCTAGTTGTACTGGTGGTTATCCTGACCCAGTGTAGATCTTCATAAGCTTTTCAATTATCCTTGCTGCTGAGTACAAAAGAAAAACTTTGCCTTTTTGCAAATAAAAGAAGTATTTAGGAATCTACAGTGGTTTTCTGTCCTTTAGGGTGGGGAGAAAGGGTTAACAGCTTTTCCAAATACGGGACTATGCAAAGCTTTGCTCAATATACCTTTAGCCTGCCTTCCTTCTTCCTCCCCTCAGGGAGTCAGCCACCTTAAACAGAAAGCAGTGTTGGAGGTGATCCTGCCACAAGGCCCTGAGGACCATCCTGCTGGCTCAGTAGTTTTCCCCCTCCTTGTGAAAATGCTGACAGGTTTCATGCTGGCAATGTGTTAGCACTGCATTCGCAGCCATGCTGGGTGTGAATGTGTGACACACTGCGGCAGGAAGTGCTCAACATCAGATATGACGATAACTGGACCTTTCTTCCAGGAAGACAAGATCATGTGGTCTCATATGTGAGTAACCCAGGTCGAGAATACTGAAGGCATAACACTCTCAGTGATATGGGGCTCTTTCTCTTCTGGGTCCCCAAGAGCTCCCTGGAAATGTCACAGAGGGAGCGGTTGCCTCTCAAGCTGATGTGAAGGCACGGTGTGCGGTTCACAAAACCACAGAGATGTTATGATGGTGTCCATTGGTACCACAGGCAAACCAAAGGGGAATGCCAGCACTGTATAGAAAATATTGAGCTAACAGTCACAAAAATGAGTTTGTTCCCCATCTTAAGCCTGGGGACAGTAATGATAGCAGTCACATATCTCATCAACCTCTTCCCAAAATACCTTGTTCATAAATAAACATCAACTCTCAGCCCACTCCTACATCCCATTTTTTTGGTTTTTTTTGTTTTTGTTTTTTTTTTACAGTGGAGAAGCAGAAAGCAAAGGGTACTTGCAGCAAAAGAATTCCTCTGAAGTCAGATCTGATCAAGGTTTTGGGTCCTTGGTTGATTCAAAAGCCTGCGGTGATAGATGTGGTATGCTTGCTTAGATAGATCAGATTGAGATTCTACAGTTTTTGTTCTGCTGAAAAGAACAGAGAAGGAGGATGCTTCTTTCCAGGAAAGCTGGACACAAAAAAGTAAAGCCTCTGGCATTGGGAAATACCCTTGGCTGGGTTCTGACCCACTGTGGCAAGCCCTCATACTATAAACTTGGGAAAGCTATACACAAATACATATATGCCTACAGATGCAGCTAGTCCCCAGTTATCTGGGGAAATTTTGGCTCAAAGTAACTTCTAAGGAGAAGTCTGGTCTCTTAAATCTCTTGGGCAGTTCTGAAAGTGGTTCTGATTGCCTTGGCATGCCTCAGTTTCCGGTATGTACAGCAATGAGTCAGGATAAACACACTGACATATTCCCAGACAAACCCTGCAGATTTTCATCCACGTTTAACATTTATTTACTGGAATTCACCATGAGGCAATGACAACAGTGGCTTTTTGGTCTTCTCGTAGTCCTGGACTAAACCTGAAACAGTGTCAGAGCTGAAAACAGCGATCGCTCTCCAGCTGCCAAATGAGCCCAAATGAGCTCTGGCACAAAAGAGCTCAGCCTCAGGTCAATGCCACTGGCTGGAGCTCAGTCCCAGGTCAAGAGGTGCCCATGTCCACATTCCCTCCACCCATTTATTGACAGAATAACTCTATTTATTCTGCTCTAGCTGGAGCGTGGTTCCTTTTTTTGGAAAACAAAAGAGCACGTACAGAGCTGTGGGGCTGTAAGCAGAAGGTGGTGCACACAAGGTAGGTGAGGAGGACCTGGGGCTAGAAGAAAAGCAGATGCTACAGGGAGGATTGAGTGACAGCGCAACAGAGTGCAGGGAGCCCAGTGTCTGAAAAGTGGCCAGCAAGAAGGCAAGAGGGAGTCTTGCAGGTCAGGACTGAGAGACACCGTGCTTTGCTTTCATCTGCATGACTACTTTGGTAACTGGACCCACTGCCTGCTGTCATCTTCCCTCCTTCAAGCAATCTACACCTGCCAGCCAGCATCTGCTCCATCCCTGTGCTGGGGACCACACACCTTGTGCTTTGCCTCTCCCTCCAATGGGACCAAGGAGGGTAGCTAAGAAATACAGCAGTTGCTCAGCAACTCCCTGCCCCCCGAGGAAGACAACGTAAGCTATCTGCACCAGCCTCCTGGGTTGTTCTCTGTGCAGCTGGAGGTGCTCCTACCCCGACTTTTTCCAGGCTCCCCCTGCAGATCTTCTCCCTGCACAAGCCTCTGGAACCTCCATTTCAGAGAAGAAAAAGGCCATTGTATGAGGTGTACTGACCCATCGCAGCAGGACGGTGCAGGACAAAGGTCGAACTGAAGGGCTATGGCACCACATTATTGATTGCTGAGACAACCTTGAGCTTGGGTAAATAGATGTCCTCCCCTCTCCCCTCCATGCATGTGTGAGCTGGCTTGCATAGGGGGTGTGGGCCAGGCTTCACAGGTGGCAACAGACTTCAAAGGTAGGTCTGCAGCTCTGGGGGAAACACCGGTGCCTACCATCAAACCTTCTAACAAAGAGACTCTGCTGCTGCTGCTGCTTCCTGCCTTCCTGCCCCCGCCCCTCCGTCTGCGGTTCTTTGCTTGTGCCTGCTGTTTCTGAAGGGATGCTGTGATAGCGGAGAAGTGCCTTTGCTCTCCTGGCCTGCCCAACTTGGTTCACTGGCGAAGAGATCCTCCCCAGGGGCTGCACGGAAGGGTGACCCATGAGAAGCAAGGGAGGGCAATCTGTGCTGGGACTGTCTGTACCATGTGCCTCTCTGGAAGGGTGTGTTAGAGCAGTAGATGTGCAGCTGATTGTCCAAGTGCTGATGTTCACCAAGCTGGGTTTAATGTTGTGGAGTGAGTTACCTGGTGCTTGCATTCTGCAAGCGTGTTTTCATGTTGCAAGGCAACCTGGACGCTTGCAGCTCAGTAACTGGGGAAAAGCAAGGAGACTGAGAAGCCCATTCATCC